CCACCCTCAAGGACGCCCTGGAATCCACCCTTAACTGCCACCTTTCGCCCGACGCTTGGCTCCAGTCATCACTTCCGGTGAAGATGGGAGGCCTAGTGCTGAGACATGCTGTGGACATGGCGATTCCGTGTTTTATCGCGTCGTGCCACAGCACCTTGCCCTAAGTGTCCTCTCTCATCCCGGAGGAGATCATCGCCTCCGACACCACCTTGGAGGAAGCGGAGCGGGAATGGGTCACCATCGCTGATGGGGCAGAGAAACCGGCGGAAACTCTGCAAGGCTCCCAATCATCGTGGGAACGCCCCCTTCACGACCTCGCCATTGCCAAGCCCGCCTCCTCGCCGCTGTTCAACCCCACACAGGGGCCTGGCTCAACACCCTCCCCTCACCACAACTAGGGACACACTCCACAATGAGGCTTTCCACGTCGCTACAGCCCTTCGCTTCGGATGCGATATCTGTGTTCCCCATAAGTGTCCCTGCGGGGTGAAGGTCACCGCCAAAGGCTATCACGGCCTAAAATGTAGGAAGAGCGCGGGACGTCACTCCCGTCACTCCTCGGCCAACGATGTCATAATCCGCGCCCTGAGGTCCGCAGAAGTCCCTTGCATAAAGGAGCCGCCCGGCTGCGCGAGAGCAGACGGGCAACGGCCAGACGGGCTCACCATGGTCCCATGGACTCGGGGAAAGACCTTAGTGTGGGACTTTACTTGCGCCGATACATTCGACCCCTCTTGCCTACCAGCAACGACAAAACGTCCAGGTGCGGCCGCAGAAAAGCCCAGGAAGAAAAGAGAAAAAATACGACTTTCTCCGCGACCGATTTCTCTTCATCCCCGTCGCCATGGAGACTACAGGAGTGTGGGCAAAGGAAGGATTACGCCTCATTGAGCCAATTGGGGAGAGGATCGCCACAACTACGGGGAGGGTCGTGCCACGACCTTCCTCATCCAACGTGTCAGTATCTCCGTTCAATTAGGAAACGTCTCCGCCGTTTTGGGAACACTTCCTCCAAGCATGGAGCTGGAGGAGGTGTTTAATTTATAAATTTCAATTCTCAATTCGCAATTTTTCTACGATTTTACTGCGATTTTTACTACGATTTTTTTTAAGGTTAGGGATTTATCTGTTCGACTTTTTACGTTTTTTTGATTGTAATACATAATGAACTCTGCGGATACACTACTCAATTGAATAAACCACAATATAAATCGTAAATCAATTTGTGGTTTTGGCATACTATTTAGTAAATGGAAGTTTGCAACCAGAAACAATTTGAAGTACGAAAGGATCATCAGTCAAATCTGCCCATTTTTCATAAAAATATTGAAGTCTACCAGATAATTTACATACATTTATATTTGATGAGGGCGATAATTGTTGAACCTCCCCCTGAATGGTCGTCTGCCTCCCCTCGAGAGGAGAGGCGCTCGGTAGTTTAAAGGTGGACGATTTGATGATGCTGACCACGATCCTCGTGTAAATCCACGACCAAGGCCTCGAATCGATGGCGAAATACTTTTTATAATTTTGGCAGATGCTCGAACGGATGTTAAATCCTTTTCCAGAGAATTTCTAAATAGGTTCTCAGTTATAGCCACCGACGGCCCACAAATCCCTGCACTTTCAACGGACAAGAAGGGTTTGATTTGTTGTCTGCGTTTCAGGCTGATTTCTTTGAATGCCAAGCCAAATTGTGTCGCAGCATCCAGTGTCATGGACAGTAGATTCTTTAGTAAGTCATTTGGAATCCTTGCTGCATTGCTCGCCAATAACTCCACGAGATTTGATTGAGCCACCAAGCCTTTTGATAAAAATTGTTGTACAAATTGCTGTTGCGCATCGCTGGCTTGTGCTCGTCTTAGCAGCTGTGTCCAAATCTCAGAATTTACTTTGGGCGCTTTCAATTCTTTGGCATTCTCTGGTACACGGAACAGTGCCTTATTCTCATCAACAAGTTCCTTCGTTACATTCTGAGCTACAATTTCTATTCCCAATTGTATTTATCTGACTTAATGTTTTTCCTTGGAACGTAATGACCCAGTTATCTGGGGTGTTTCATTGTATGAAATAAATAAATAAATACAATTCGCTTAATACTGCAGCTATTTTTATATCAACAGGCGGGCCATATTCATCTTCCGCTTGATTTGCATTCAATATTTCTTCAATTAATGGATTTTCAATTGTATCATTCTCACTGGGTTTATCTAGTATTGGAAATATTTAACACATTTTAACAGTGACCCAGACTATTCATTTATTCATGTCAATGATTTTTTATCTCACCTATTCGTGACTGTCCAGTGGAGCCCACTGAAGACATTAAATTTGCAATGGGATCATCCTCATCCGTATCATGGAAGGATTGTATTTCTTTTTCTCGAGGCGGCGCCATCGAGTTTTGACCAAAAACGTTTGATAATACGTCTAACAAATTGTTCAATTTTTCTGACTGTTCTTTCATTGCTCCCGGCAGCGCCGAGAGAGCCTGTATTTGATCAGAATTTTCTTTCACTGTCTGCGACAGTGAATCCAGGCTATGGTCAATTTTTTCAGCTTTTGATTTCTTTTTAGGAGGAATTAATTCATCTCCATTCTTTCTATATAATTATTACGAAAGGAAAAACTACATTAATGCCGATGCGATGAGAAATCGCATTGAGGAGGAAAAATTGAAACTCAAACGCAAAAAGTTGGACGTGACAGCTTTGAGTTAGTTGAGTTATCGATTAGGTGCCAGTTTCTGATTTATCGTGTTTGTCTCTTGTCGTGTTTTAATATGCCCATTCAATGTTGAACTTACAAAATTTGTGCCTTTGAAAAAACGTAATAAACATCAAAACTTCTCACAATATCGTAAAATCTAGAATAATTATGTTAATTAATCAACTTCATCCACCAAATCGCAAATTATATTTTCCAGCTCGTTTTCATCCGCATCCAATAAAGGAATTCCAGCATCCAAGCAGTAATTATGCAATACGATGCTAGCTGTGATCAATTTGCAAACTTTTCCGGGTTCGTAACACAAATCGCCTCCAGATCTGGAAATTAAACAACATTAAAACCTGGCTTATGACGTCTTAATTTATTACAACAAACTTGTGCATCGATCTGAAGCGACATTTCCACAGCCCAATACACCTTTCAACTGCGCTGCGAGTCTTTGTCAAGGCGGTGTTGAATAATTGCTGTTCAATTGATAAAACAGCTCTTCTTGAAAACGGAATAGCCAAGTAAGGAGCACGAAAGTACCCACTGTCTCCTGCAAATCACAATTTTATTTCATTTCGTTTGTTCTCTACAGTACGATAAATTAAAAATTTACCAATCAAGACTTGGTTTCCGAACTCTCCTCGTTGAAAACGGTGACAAAGTGCACTGTTTCTCATAATGAAGCTATCATGAGTGCTTCCGGGGTATTTGGCTACAACATCCGTAATTTTATGCTGGTGATCACCAACGATTTGAACATTCACTGAATGACGTTGTTTCCGGTTGATGTAAACGCCACCGTGATCAGTTTGCGCTTTGATCAGAACATGGCTCCCATCAACAATTCCAATAACATTGGGCAATGCTGCTACTCGATAGAACGCATGCGACACGGTTTCACGTTCACCCAAATCTGTCGGAAATCGTATCCTCTCACGTGCATGTGTTTGGAGAACCGATGAGACCTGTGAAATTGTTTGAAATATGCACTTCAAAAATGCAAATCGGACGTATTTTCATGAATACCTCCTCAATAATCCTACTACACGACGGCTGGGAAGTCCCAGAAACGGTTCCCAACATCCACTGGAACGACCCGGACCGAAAGAAACCCAACGCCGAAGGAATTTTGGTTTCTGAAGGAGCAGCGTGATTTCGGAATGCCCGTGGTGTCACTTCCGGTTCAATCCACTCTATCAGTTCTCGCGCGTCCCACCACGGCAGTCCAGTATGTTTTCTCACTTCGAATTCTGACAAACTTTAAAGTAATCGACGTTGCTTGTATGTGCGATTTCTTTCATTGTTTAAAACAAACAATGGAACAGCCATTTTTATGAACTATTTTAAAGTTAAATTAATTTAAAAATTAATTTTCCGAGTTTAACTTGAGTTACGCAAATCGCTATTCCAGCTCAGAGTTGGAATAACTTTAGGCAACAAAATTAGGAATTTGAGTATATTGAATTCGACCCAATGCTTTTACTCTTCTTATTATTTTTTGCATGCGGTTGTGGAGTTTATATAATTTTTCAACCCAGAAAATATACACGGCAAAAAATCCCGAAACTCCAACCTACAAAAATGATTGGCCGGAACAACGAGACGATTAGAATATGTACATACCTAGTTGGCTATAGCTGGCTGTCAATTACTGAAAGCGCTACAACCACCGTAATTGTTTTGATACAAATTTTTTGTTAATTTTATTGGAAAGCCAGTTAAATTTTGAATAAATGAGCTGGTGCCGAATCTTGCTGGAAGGTCCAATGACCTCTCTCGAACATGGATTCATTGAGTGGGTTCACCACCGGGTTTAGGACGTCTTCCAAATAATATTTCGCCCTGACCTTGACTCCTTTTTCGACGAAATGGAGCGGCGCCTGGCCTAAACCGGATACTCCAGCTCAAACCATCACTGAGCCGGGGTGGTGTGACCTTTTGACCTTTTTGATTGACTTGGGAACATCTTTAGCCGATTCGGCGTAGACCCGGTCATTTTGTTTGTTGAAGGATGCCTCAACGTTGAAGATATTTGACCAGGGAGTGGGCGAATTTGTCCATGAATTTCGTGCGTTATTCCATCAAGGACTGGGGCCCCGGTCTTCAGCGCCGCATTGCCGCAAATGGTGACAATTTTGAAGTTTAAAAGCGGTGTCTTATTCAAAATTTAACTGGCTTTCCAATAAAATTAACAAAAAATTTGTATCAAAACAATTACGGTGGTTGTAGCGCTTTCAGTAATTGACAGCCAGCTATAGCCAACTAGGTATATACACAAAATATACATATATAAATAAATAAATTAGGCAGTAATTTATTCAAATAATTTAGTCTCATATGTACATAAAACAAATTAATAGGCAATGTTCCAAAATATCATTGTCGTTAACTGTCAATTATCCTGATCTAGCGATTATTCCAGCCGCAACGAAATACAGGATACCATCAATTATTGCCAAACCCTGGAAAAATTTGCAATCATATAAAAACCTTATATTTTACCATTATCCTCACCGTTTCAACTTACACCTCCTGCCAACTTATTGTAAAATTTCAACTCTTTCCTGATCTCATCTTTTACATCGCTCACGATATCTTTCCCCGTCGGGGGGGACTTCAAAGTTGACAAAAGCATAGATGTTGCCGAACTTAATTTCCAAGACAAGCCACCCAAACCAGTCGCATCCATTATGGCGTCATCAATCTTAATTGCGGCAACGATCATGAGAATTCCCGAAATTAAGAGAAGTACTCCCGCCAATCCGTGATATCCGGCATCCTAATAAATGTTTAGCATATTTACTTGTTTAAAAACATACGTGTTCAAAAACTGAAATTGCATTCGGAGCTAGAGCTTTCATTGAGAGCATTCTGAGAATGTCGATTTTCATACATTTTCTCTCAATTTCTATCGCTTTCAATTCATTTCATTGAGAAATGAAAGAGTTTTTCATTCATAATCATTCACATTAAACCAATATCTTTTTCATTCACTATCATTCCGTATCATAATCCCTCTTTTGAATGAAAGTGAACAAGTGTGTTGTAAAATTTCGCCAAAAATTCATAATTTAAAAATTGTACCCCTACCGGTGCCTTAAACTTCTTCACATCCATTACAAACCCGGCTACCAAACTGAATGTGGACAAAATCAGGCAGATAATCGTCAACGCGACGAACGTCCTTTCCATCGGTATGGCCTCCGAAGGACATTCTGATAGTTCTTTGCATTCATCCGCAAATCCCGGCATGTCATCCCAGGTTTTCTTAAATTCGTTGTTAAAATGAGCATGACATCCCACCACGGTGGCGACAAGAAGAACTATCTGTGCAAAAAAAATGGAGAACAATGAGAAAATATGTTTTAGACTATTTTTTTTCTAAATGTATGACAACATGTATTTATGTACCAGCGCCACCACTTTAATCACAATCGGTCCGTTACTCATCTTTCGGGCAAAGTTTACAAATTATTTCGAGTGATTCGAATATCAGGAACCTTATGCTTATTTACATATAAAGTAAGTTTTTAATATAACAAGCACTTTCAAATCTGCGACGGTTCTGAAGTAAGACCACTTGGGAGATTTACTTATGTATGTACTGATAACATTTTCCTATGATTTCATCACCGATTGATAATATACGGACTCAATTACATCCTGACTGTGGAGTTGCGACACGATAAGAGTAATCCGTCAAGCCGGGCAGGCAGGATATGACGCATTTGTGTAATTAATTACAATATGTACAAGCCATAAACTGGGCTTTGAATGCAAGAGGTAAAACCATGTTCAACCCAGAAATTTTTTTTAGGACTAACATAATTTGACAGACAAACTCTTCAGTTGGTTCGGGTTCGGCACTTGGATGGATACGCAAAATTCAGCGACTTATGAGCACTGTAAGTTTGCCGTTTTCCAGGCAAAAAACGAGTTTTGCACTTTTTTGTCGAGAGAATCCTTCATTTTCTGGAACAGTTGCTAAGAGTCAGACGTTGTTTGTCAAGAATTTGTCCATCAAAGTGTGTATGATTGTCTTAAAAATATCCGGGTTGAACATGGTTTACCTGCGCATTGTTGGTTATGAACATAAATTGATAAGACCATGGGCAAATATTTCATACAGGATGCGACGTGTCACCATACTCGCCATAAAATGAAGATATTTTGAGCACGCAAAAACTCTACACGTCAAAGTTTTTATGATTAATTACGGATAATGAAGGATTTTTGTGATTGTGTAACGACTCTACTCTTTATGAATGCAGTATATATTTTTCCACAGAATTTGTGCCAACCTACATAATCATTCCGTCAATATGTGTAACATATTTGAAGGGAGAACGAAACGGTAAAGATAAGATGGTTACATATGTATGTACATACTTATGATTTTGAAGCCAATTCATTATGTATGTGAACTAAATAAAGTATAATCTGCATTATGTATGAGCAAGTCAATTAATGAACTCACTCACTCCTACATCCATACAATTATTCTTGCAGTTTGTCGCTTCGGAATATTGGTCGCATAACGTATCCAAATCCACGAAATATATAACCCAGGAACGCTATGATGGATGGTCGTCAATAACACAATAATCTTAGTTACTAGGACAATAAGCCCGTCTTACTTGGGTCAAAAACCCATTTTTTGAAAGTTCTCTGTGTACAAAAACGTTTTAACTCATACTATTTTGGTTTTTCAAATTTTCCCACAATACGCAAATCAACCTTTTTTTTAAATTTTCCTGCCATATTCAAATCTACTTTCTCTGCTTTTACTCCCTACACTAAGATTTTCCTTTCGCTTCTGTTACCAACAAATATTTCAGTCTATAATAATTATCCGTTTATAATATGGCTTATGAGAAAAGGACAAAATCCGGTCAATCAAACCGACACCGACAAGAATAATTTTTAATTATCTAATAAGCTGAGCACAATATGTAGTAAAATCTGTCAGTTTGTACCACTAAGGCATAATTAAAAAACTTTACTTATTGTACATAATACTCATTCAAAAACGATTGATTACTCAATTTGTGAAATTCATGATGTTTAATATCATTAGATTTATTTAGCTTCAAAAATCCAACTATTGTTCATTTTATTTGATTAATTAATAGGGACAATAATATCTACTTCAATTATTTTAAATTATTGGGTTCGAATCTTCACGGATAAATTTACGTTGTTGGTTTCACGCAACCTGTATATAAATCGAAACTTATCATAAAAGTACACACAAAATAGTACATATGTAGACATGCATTTACATTAAAGAGTTTGTCGCACAGTTGAATATTTTTAGTAATTTTTTACACAAATTCTTGGCAACTAATTTTTTGATGTGACGAAATGAATGGATAGAAACACTGGTACTATTTACAGCGAGAGTTGGGCATATATATTATGTATGCATGCACAAGTTATACATAATATGATATACATGTATATTTTTTTATGTGATAATAATTTATGGACATGCAACCTTTTATTTTGAATAATAAAATTATTATTACACACCTGATTATAAAACTAAAACTATGACAAAAAAAACATAGGAATCACAGCATGCTTCGATCCATTGGATAAATCGTATTAATAAATATGGTGCGTGTAAAGCTAAACTACTTGAGCATAAAAAAATATTTACAAAATCGGGATAAAAAAGACACATTAAATAGTTTTTATTCGACTTCATTACAAGCCCACGAGGGAATTAACCACTGAGGTCAGTTTCGGCTGCATACACATGTACATCAGAGGGAATGTGATACATGGCTCATGTATCACATTCAAATGCAGCCATGATGGCTGCATTTTTTGGACGGGGTTTTATCGCCTGAAGAAGAAATGGATCGAAATAAGGCCAGACCTGGTATTTTATGACTGGACTGGACTGATTTAAGTATATGTATGAACGGGAAAACGATAACGAGTTAATCCATCAAACTTATATAATTTGGTGGTCCAAACACTTAACCTGATTCTCATCCTGAAGCGGATTTGTGGTGATATCGTAGCAATGAACGAATGGAAAATGTAGTCACTACATCAATCAAAAGAAGCTGACGGGTGAATGCTGACTAAAATAGGGAAGAATTAACGTTGTGTAACGCGTTTACATAAAACGTATGTAGTACATAGACTTATGAAACGAGTATCCTGATGCTTCGTAGTATTGAATGATTGATGTGGTGATCACCACACGTGCCCATCATAAATAAATACCTTGTCAGATTGCAAGTACTTATAACTACATATGTACAACTCATCTTAAATTACATTTTATTGTATAAAGGCATGATTCAATTAAACAACCTGATCAATTCTGTAATGATCAGGGTGTAGGTTAAAAAAATATTATTTCCTATTGTATAAATACATGTACATATTTGTGGTTTTGACAGTATTTGTTAGCACTCCAGATGTATGCACATATTTATTTACTAAAATATATATTGTTTGATTGGATGAGCGTTGGATGGCTTTCGAAGGAATCTCAATTTAAAGATTTTTCAACAGTTTCCTAATTTTAAGTCTAAAATGTGTATTTTAAGCCTGTACCAACTGCCACTAATTTCTGGGGTAATAATCTTTCTTTACTTCTCCATATTGAAAAACACAGTTAAGGGAACCAGAGGTTGGTACATATGTGAATTAATAACTTTATTTCTAGATGATCTTCTTATGGTGGAGATTTCTACACATTTCTATGTACAAATGTTTTTAACTATAGGTCGACATACAGTCAATCCAACATATGAGTACACCCCTAAAAAACCTGCATATATCGCACATGTGTGGAAATAAAAATTTGAAATTTTGCACACTGGTAGTCCAGAAAGATTGTGGTTAAATGGCGTTCTTGTTTTTGAAATATCTCAAAAAGGTCAAAGGTCATGATTTAAAAAAAATTTTTTTTTTCATAATATATTTAAGGGAATTGCAACCCTTTATTTCTTCACATATCATTCATACATGATTATTCCAAACATAACTAAACTAAAAAAACGGAAGAATCATCATACGAAAAATTTATAATAAGCTAGGCCTGACAAAATCATGCAGAATCATGCAGAATAAATAAGTTTATAAAAGATGTGTCTATTTAAAAAAAAGGTTTACAATTTGTAAGAGTTTACGAAAGGAAAGAAAGTACATAATTTTAATCCCACGGAGGTGGCTCTTCTTTGGAGGAGGACTTTACTATTGTGCCATCAGGGTAGAAATTAAACACTGCCTCAACTCACTCTACTTCAAGACCACATTTTTGTATAATAAATATAAGAAATTAGTTGATAGCAAGAGAGAAAGATATTTTAGCAAGATATTATTATTGTTTTTATTTATTTTAGGTTAAGATTAATATGTATTTGGTTATTTTTAATCACGTATAATTTAAACCTTTTCCATTTTCTGTGGAAATTTTCCACTAATACTTTTCCCCCTCGTAAACTTACATGGAATTCGGTCAAAATTCGCCCAAAGACCAAGTGTCGGAAATGGGACATATAGTCGAAATTGTCCTCAAAGTGATTAAGAAAATGAATATAAGACTTGTAAATTGAACAAAGACCATAATAAATAAAAATATTTTCAGACGCCGCATCTCGAGACCCTTTGATCCCAGAACGAGGGTTCACACTATTCATGTCCCTGTTAAGAATTTTGGAAATAAAATGCCATTAGGCTGAAAGTGAAAGCATTCAAAATAATGCCTTGACTCAATATTTGTAAAATGACAAAACGGACAATCCCTGCCCTCATGTAGGCCCATAGACTCCGCAATTTTGGGCGTCAAGCCTGTATTATGTAAAAGTTTATAGACAATATCTTTTTCTGGATTACTTACCTCAGTTTTTTGGAGCATAATCCATGACGGGTCCGTAATAGTATCAATGGATACCTTAGACCATTGTATCTTTTGGGCAATACGAGAACATAATAAATAACGGTTGTGTTTTACTACCGTTTCCCAGTCAGACGAGTTACTATATTTTAGGCAACGCAATGTGACACAATCCTGTGAAGGAATATAAGTGTCAAGAATGTCGCGTAATTTGGCTCTTTCTCTACATATTAATCTTGGAGATGGAAAACGAGGCATACTTTGGGAAAAATTGAAACTCTCAAACTCCCCAATTGTGTTGCAGCCTAATTGTATTAGACCCGGAAAAGTATTATTTCTAAAGAAAATTACGTTATTAAGGGTGACAGCATGAAAAATCTTACGAGTGATTAGATCAAAACTAAGGCCAAGTATTTGTACTGATTTGTAAACATTATCATAGAATGGAGTATCATGCACCGGCTCATTTCTTATCAGAATGCTACTTATATTCGTATGAGCAAAGTTGCAAAAATACGACTCGCTGTTATTTATTATTTTATTTGCAAATACTACTCGAAAGGTGGTCAACTGGATAAGTGGGTGACGCACACCGATTCCCCCATTTGCAAGGGGCAAATAGAGTAGGTGGCGACCAACCCACCGTTTGGATCCTTTCCAGAGAAAATTTTCCGCTAGCTCAGTAATTTTTGCAATAAAAGATTCTGGGGGGTCAAGAACTTTAAATACATACCACCATACTGGGAGCAGGTATGTATTTAAAATTCTAGCCCGTGAGAAAAAACTA